GTGAGCACTTGCTTCCCGCCCACACTTGGTAGCCTGCTATGCTGTTTTGTTCCGTGTTGCAAGGAGCATGCAAACACTTGTTTTGTTAACCAGACATCTGAGCTCACTGTGCTGCCTGAGAGAGAGCGAGAGAGAGAGCGAGAGAGAGAGTGAGAGACAGAGAGAGAGGAGGCATTAAGGCAAACTCTGTGCTGGGTTCAGATCCAGGATGAGCAGGAAATCCCACGTGGGGACCTGCTTTCCATCAAAGACACAACTTCCTCTTTTCTGGCTCCTGCCTCCCCGGTACCTGGAAACCCGAGTCTAGGAGAAGCCTCGGAGTCACGGGCGAGCACTTTGCGCTCTGGTGGGACGGCTGCTTCAGTGACCTCTGTCTCTCCAGACTCGTCGGGGACCCGTGGGTGCAGGGCACCTCCCTAGAGACTCGGTCACACTGGTAGTGGTGACAGCAAGTAGGTGAACTGCCCGGTGCCCATTAAAGTCAGGCTTCACCGGACTTTCAAAGAAAGGAGCTTCTTTCGAAGCTTCTATCATTTTGGCTTCCTGACTGCATATTATAGCAAGTGTATTCTCTCATATCCTTGGGGACACATCCTTTTTTCCCAACTTGTCTGTTGAAAAATTCCAAACCTGTGGAAGAGTTGTAAGAACAACAACAGCGGACAACTACATATCTTTACCAGACAAACCAGTTGTTAATGTGCTCACACACTGGCTTTATCCTCTTCCCTTCTGCGTTGTGTGCATGTGTGTCTGTGACCAGCGGTCCCCACGTGTCCGCCGTTTCGCTTTCTGTGGTTTCAGTCTTCCACAGTCAACTGTGGCCTGAAAATATTAAGTGGAACATTCCAGAACTAAACAAGTTTTACATCACCTGCCATTCTGAGGAACGGGCTGAAAACGCGCGCGTTCCCACTTTGCCCCGCCCGGCACGTGAGTCACTCCCGTGTCCAGCGTCCACACGGCTGTGCACGCTCCCCGCCTGTCGGTCACTTAGGAGCCGTCTTGGTTCGAGTCACACTTATTTTACTGAATCATGGCCCCCAAGTGCACGAGTACTGGCGCTGACCCTTCAGACGTGACGAAGGGAAGCGGCACGCGCTTCCTCTATGTGAGAAGGCGCGGACAGGACAGGCATGGTGTGGACAGGCCTCGCTGCTGTCTGTCTGCGGCCTCGGGCGCCCACTGCGGCCGCGGGACACACACCCCGCCCCCGAGGACAAGGGGCGACCGGCGTGCTTTGTTTTCATTTTGGCTGAACTGCTTCAAGGTGTCCCCTGAAATGCGAGCCTGCGGGCGCTGCCCCGAGGCAGGTCAGGGCTGCGCATGGAGGAGGAAGCCGCCTTCCTCTGCGCTTTACGGAAAGGAGACAGCAGTGCTTTGGAGAAACAGACCAAGAAGCAACACCTGAAAGTGCACGTGTCGGATTTTGTTCCCCAGAGCAACCTCTGATCCCGGTCACACGGTCACGTGGCCCAAGTGGGCCCAGTCTGGGTCGCCCCGAGCGCCCTGCGGGGACGGCCCAGCCTTCGCCGGAAAGGAGCGTCCATCTGGACGGCTTCCGTAAGAACACGAGAATGTCATCAAACTCAAAGGACCTCCGACAGGGCATATACGCTCTCCTGTTGCGGAGCCAAGGAGCAAAATGAAAATTGTGTGTGTGTCACGTTCAGTGAAGAAGCATTTGGGAAATGATATTAAGTCTGAGATACTGGAGGGGTATTTAAAGGCGCAGATAATTCATTGTTGACTGTCAAACAAGCACACGAAGTTTCATTTGCTCATTTCTACCGTCTTCCAAGGCCACTCGGAAGGCCAGACGCCTTCCCCATGTCCTCTGAGCCGCGCTTCCTGTAAACTGTCCCGCTGCCACCAGGCGCACAGGGGGCCTCCTGTCTGAAGCACGGCGACCTCCAGGACGTGCAAGTGCCTTGGCGTATGTGCCCTGTAAAGAGATACCTTTGTTGTAACCAGCGGTCTAGTCGGTCGCCGGCTGTGGGCTCCGTCACTGAATTCCTGGTACGCCGGGGACACCTTCTGCGCCCACAGGGAACCCCCAGAACAGGATGCAGCTGTGGGCGCGGGACGGGGCCTTTAGGGAACTCGGCCCCTGTGGCGGAATGTAAGCCGCGCGCGGCGGAACCGTGGGGCCAGCGGGGACGCGGACGTTCTTCTGGTGTTTCTGCGTGTGTGTTCAGGCGGAACTGCCTACCAGGGCCTCGCCTGGGACGGCCTTGGACAGTTTTCTAAGTGTGATCATGGAAATGTTATCACATCTTAACTCTGGACCTCCCGGAAAGGGAGGAAAAACGAGAATCATTGTCCAAACGAGAAAAAAAAATTTTTTTTGGCTTTTTTTATTTTGAATTTTTTTCTTTCTCTCTCCCCCTCTCTATCTCCATATATATGTATACACGTCAAGATGAAGCTGTGAGCTTGTCCCAAGTGAATGGCAGGTAGGAACCACTCATTGCCCAAGTCTTGTTGTTTTTTCCTTTCCTGCCACAGGGGAGAAAACTAAGGACACAGTTCAGGCGCGGGCTCCAGCCACTCCTCGGTCACCGCCCCGCTGAGGACTCTGCGTGAACCGCCACGGCTTTGCGGCCCAGTCCCCTTAGCGGCGCGGTGGGAGCAGCCATTTCTGCTCTACCCGCCTTGCAAAGCGCTCGATGTGAGACACGCCCAGTGCGCCCTCCTGCCCTTTTCCTCTGCCCGGGCCAGGAAGTGAGCGCAAAAGCCTGGCTCCCGAACCAGTAGGACGTCGGAGACCAGGTGGGAGGAGGGGCGAGGGTGTGCCGCAGCCCAGCGTCCTGGCGTGTCTTCGAACGAGATGTTACTTCTGTCACATCGATGAGCCTGTTTGTTTTTTCTTGAGTTATTTCTTCCGATTCAGTCCATGAGCTTTGTGCCATGGCTCCCCTTCCTACTCATCAGGCTGCCTCTGAGACTCCTGTTTTCCTTGAAGATGAACATGTACGTGCTATAAAAGGCAAGATATTGCCAAATCGGTGTAACACATTTGCAGTGTGAGCCTCTCTCTTATTTCAGGTTGTCAGGAGCCGGAGCAGCCTAATGAAATTAAAACCACCAGGCAAAGCCGAATGAGTGGGAGCCAAGTTATTCTGGGAATTACACAGTAAGACACTACTCAGAGGAGCTCAGGGGCATCACGAGCCGGGGTGACTCCGTAGGGGGGCAGCCCTCTCAGAGGGCCCCCTTTCTGCCAGAGGTCACGGGTGCCGCTCCTCTTGGGTCAGCGGCCCATGTCAGCCCCTCAAACAAGCAGCTGCCTCATTCAGTCGGGAGAGCGGAAGGGAAAGGCACGTTTTCGAGGTAAAATGCCGGGCAGGGTTTAGAAGAAGGGAAATCCAGGCAGCGAGACGTTTGCACACTAGCCTTCCACTGCATCCCGGGCGAAGAGATTTCCAGGTTTACAGCAGAACGACCCGAGGCCAGAAAGAGCTGGGTAGCTTTTCAGGCCTGAGAGAATGAGTCGTCCGGCGGGCACACCTGCCCCAGGCCGCCTCCTTCGCCCCCGGCAGGGCGGGGCAGGCTCGAGGCCGTCAGAAACCGACTGTGACCTCCAGTCACGGGGGAGGGAGCGTCCGGGACTGGCTCCACCCACACCTGAGCCTGGGACGCAGGCTTTGTCCCTGGAGCCACTTGCCTGTCTCAGCCCACGCTGCCTCTGCTGTCCCTCCAGGGACCACGCGAGGACACAGACGTGGGGAAGAGCGTTTCTTCGCTGGTGGCAGGGACAAAATCATTCCTTCTCTCTCTCTCTCTCTCTCTCTCTCTCGCACGCGCGCACGCACACACACACACACACACAGTTTGGCCCAACCCTTCACGGCTCACGCAGTGTGTCCGCGCCTGCCATCTTGGTCGCTGCTGCACACCGCGGGGAGGAGGTGCGCCGGGACCCTGGTTTCCAGAGGAGGAACGTGGCGCTCAGACAGCCCAAGCTCCCAGAGATAAAGGAGCGTTGAGAGCAAACCTAGTCCGCTTTCCCCCAGTCACGGGAAATCCAACCTTTGCTCCAAGTTAACCTCAAGTTTCTTACTCATTGCAGAACCAACGACGTAGGTAGACACAGAGGGAAGGAGACATGTGGGGGTGGCCTCTGCTCTCAAGGAGATACATTTGTGTGAACGGATCTGCACATGATACCTGTTCGTGCAGTGATTCTCCACAACAGGCTGGGGGGGCGCAGGATGGGCAGAGCTAGTTTTCTGCAGGAGGGAGGCTTGCAGCTCACTTTCCGGGTCCTCTTCTCAGAACACCCTTGTGGAGCATCTGATGAAATGGTAGCAGGGGGCGCACATCAGAAATGTATTTTTCCGTTTCATTTTATCTTCACTTCCTTGGAGGAACCTGGCACCTAGGGTCCTGTGGAGATCAAATAAACATTTTTATTTATTTATTTTTAGAGGGGAAGGAGGGAAAACGAGAGGGAGAGAAACATCCGTGCGTGGTTGCCTCTCACGCACCCCCTGCTGGGGACCTGGCCAGCAACCCAGGCACGTGCCCTGACTGGGAATCCAACCGACAACCCTTTGGTTCACAGGCTGGCGCTCAGTCCACGGAGCCACACCAGCCAGGGCCCATGGAGGTCAAATATAAGTTCATTTTTATATCCTCGTGTGCCCTGCTAAGGCACAAACACCGCTTGGTTCCGGTTATTCCATTCCCTCCCCTCTCTTGTGGGTGTTACAGTGAGGGCTTCCTGAAGGGAAGGCCGAGGGTGAGGGTCGAACGTGGCGCTTCCTGAAGAAGGCACTCAGACGCTGGGGTGTTTGTCGGTTTGTTTTCCAGTGTCGGCGGACGCCTGATCCCCTGCAGCCTTTTTCTGGAAACCAAGACAACTTTGTGGTGCTGACTTGGCTGCCTGGAATTTCTTGCCGAAGCCACCATGCAAAACACGCCGACTCTGCCCGCTCCCGCCACCGTGGGACGCCTCGGCTTGTAGCCCGCGTGTGCGTCCCCTGACCCGCCGCAGGATGCCCGAACCCGACCCTCCGTCTGTGCTCTCGGGAAATGCGGGGAACGGGACTTTCCTTGAGCTGTTCCCCACGTCCCTGTCCACCTCGGTGGACCCGTCCCCCGGCCACCTGTCCAGCGTCTACGTCTATGTGTCCATATTCCTCAGCCTTTTAGCCTGTCTGCTTCTGCTCCTAATCCTTGCTCTCCAGAGGCTCAAAAACATCATCTCCTCCAGCCCCTCCTGCCCCGAGTGCCCGAGCGACGCCGGCAGCTCCTTCACCAACCTGGAGGTCTGCAGCATCTCCTCCCAGAGGTCCACCTTCTCCACCCTGTCCTCGTGACGGGTGCCGGAAACGGGAGCCTCCCTGCGTCCTGCGGCAGCGTCGGTTGTCCCTGATGCGGGGCGTCGCCGCCTCGGGACAAAAGGGGCCCTCTTCTTCTTGTCAACCAGTTTGACCCGTTTCCCCTCCGTCCCCACAACTCCTTTCTGCGGTCACCGTCCTTTTCATTGGTGAGCGGAGACACCGAGGCGGACAGAAACGGAGGCCGACTCCAGGGGCGGAAGGGCACACAAAGCTCCGGGCGAGTCTGGGGCGCATGCCGCTTTGAGGTCACCTTCGCGCCACTCTGCTGGACCCCGACGCGGGTCGCCTGAGCGGCCTCGCAGCGGGGGCTGGGCAGGGAACCCACATTTCGTTCTCATCCGAGCCCAGGAAGCCCACTGCACCGGCAGAAAAGGACACAATTCAGTCCAAGTTCATTGAGAGGTGTCTTCCACGTTTAAAAGGTAAAGGGGAAACACCACTTTTTTAAAAAAAGTCAATTTAGATTTAACGTATCACATGTCTAAAAGTGGAGGCAAAACTATGCAAAGTATTTTATTTAATGTCCCTTTAGCAAATGAGAATGACATTTATTGGCGAATGGAGTTGTATTTGGAAAAGTTTGGGCAGAGTTTAACTGTGAATAGCAAGACAGTCATGTGTTACGATGCAGTTTGTAATATATGAGTATTTCTTCCCCTTGCGGGTTTTTTTTTGGTTTTTTTTTTTTTGTTTTTTTGGTTCCCTTACAGTCGTAACGCCTCACGGCCTTGGACTTCTTTGTGAAACCACTGCTACTATCGCGAAGAGAAGTACCAGAAGAGAAACCAAGAAGTTGTTGTTTCATGCCCTCCATACCCACCCGTGGGAACTAAGCCTAGGGGGACACTCATTCAGTTATGTTTTCATACGGCCACGTAGGTCCCTTCCTCCCGTTTCCTGGTCTTTATGGTTTTAGTGCAGAATTACGTGAAGGCTCTGAGGTGTCCCACGTTGGTTCACTCTCATGAGGTCGCAACACTTCGAAACGACGTTGTAACACACGTTCCGTCACGCACTCCGTGACCGCTGCGTGTCTCTGGCCATCGGAGCTGTGTGCCGGCGTGACGCACCGCTCGAGACCTCCAGGGCTCGTGCTGGACGCCACCCGGGCGCACGTCGCGTGGCTGCTGGGAGCCGCGTGGTCCCGGGACCCGCCACGCTGCGGTCGGCCCCACCGCCCGAGCTCGCGGGCCGCCCTCGAACGGGGGCACCTGCAGGGGCGCAGACGAGGGATGCGGAGGCGACGGAGCTGCGCCTGAAAGCAGGACAAAGTGCGCAGACCGCGGCGTCCGGGAGGACGCCGCTGAATTTCCCTTTAAACGGAAATGGCCGCCGGCGTGACTGCGGGACGCGTTCAGCCCGCGGAGCTCGGCGCCTCCTCGCCCGGTCGGAGCGCCGCCTGGCCTGGCCTTAGGCGGTGGAGCCTCCCCTCGCCTGCGGGGCTGCGGGGCGGCCCCGCGGCCCAGGCCCTGGGGCGGGGTGAAGAGCCCGCCACTCCCCGGGGCGGCGTGCGCTCCCCGCCCCCAAGCGCTGAGAGGGGAGGACGGGTTTCTGTTTCGTAGTCCGTAGCCTCGAACCACCCGGAACTACTTCTGGACACAAAGGTGCGCGCGCCCCGCGAGACCTGCCGGCAGTCGCTGCCCTCGGGCGTCCGGCTGGGGCTGAGTGTCCCCTTCTGCCGCGGGGAGCCCGGCCGCGTGTCCGAGCGCTGGGCGCTGGACGAGGCGGACTCTGCACTGCAGGCCATTGTCCGCGCCCTCTGCGCCTGTGCGCGCGCGCGACGCACTCTCAGAACACGGACGTGTTCACGTGTCCCCAGTTCAAGGCCGCGTGGCGGCTACGGAGGGTTACAGAGCCAGCCGCACGGTCGCTGTTGCGCTTTGGTTGATCTTGTGCTGTTTTGGTTACCGAGGAAGAACAGACACGGATGATGTGATTTTTAAAAATAAAGGGAGACGTTTCCACACAGCACCATGATCGGAGTATTACCTGTTCCGAGGGGTAACTGTATTCCGTCCTCCTGGATGCGGCGTAAAAGTAAAATAAAAGAAATACAACTCTTTTCACACATCCCTGCCGGCACAGCCCCTCCGTCCCCCTCCGCGGCGGCTCTTGCTCCCCAGGATGGGCAGGGCGATTAGGAGCCGCAAAGATCCGACCGGGACCGGCGGTCCGGGCCCGCCAGGGTCACAGACCGCACGGCCGGAGCTGCACGCGTGCTGCATCGGGGAGGCTGGACGCGCGGCCGCGGATAAAGACGCTGAGCTCACGGAGGCCTGGTTCGCGTCCGCTGCTTTTGTGGGCGGGGCCCCAGCCTCCCCCCAGGAGGTCACCTCCGTCCTCTCCAAGCAGAGCCAGTGCCGTGTGGCCCAGGGTCAGCCTCTCCCGCCCCTGGACGGGTGCCGCCCTCCGGGGCTGTGAGTCCCACCCGTCCCCGATCGGGGGAGTCACCTGCAGGCGTAGAAAAGGCTCGGGCTCCGGGGCCACCGCCACACTCGGGAGCGCAGCCAGAGAGCCAGCGTGTTTAACAAGGACCCAGGTCCGTGGGACAAGCCATGGCAGGGCAGGGCCGCGTAGGCTACTCACGTGTGCCCGTGCGGGACAGGAGGTCTTCCTCTGTGCACCGCACAGGCCGCCTGTCCCTCCACACACACAGCCCCTGCTCCGCACCCCGCAGGCTGGCGGCCTGCCTGCCTGCCCGGGTCTGGTCTCCGGGCCACTGCCTGCCATTGCCGCGGGCTCAGGGGACGAGGGTCGGGAGGAAAGCCACATGCCTTCCTCCGACGCAGCACCGCGCTCACAAGACCAAGGCCAGGTTAGAGGGCGGGCCCTGCCGGAGGGGCTGACGGAGGGCCAGCGTAGTTTCCCGTTTGCTAACATGGCCACGCCCACAGTCCAAGGGAAGCCACAGCCCAGACAGAAGGCGAATCCTTGTTTGCAGCCGTGCTCCCCAGCCCTGCCCGGGGTCTGCCTCTCCCCGTCCCAGAGGGGACTCCCCCGCAAAGCAATGCCAGGCCCCGCTCTCTTCTAGAAAGTCCTCTGGGGCCTGTTGGAACCGCACAGGACCCCAGCCTCCGGTGCTTCGTCCCCGCTGGGGCCGGAGCCGCTGAGGACAGAGAGCACAAGGGTGCAGGTGAGGGGAGGACCAGGGCGGGGGAAGGGCAGGCGAGCGTCCCAAGGCCGCCCTGGGCCTCGCGGAACCCGCTGTCCCCAGAGTGCGCCCCTTCGGGAGAGGACGAGCGCGCTGCGCCTTGTCCCGGTTGTCTGATGGGCAGATGGCTCTCACAGCCCCATATGCGCACACGCTCAGATACACATCCTCTATTTACAAACAGCAAGACCAGAACCAACAGCAATTGCGCACAAGGCAAGAACACACAGAAATCCTCCGTATTCAAAGACAATACCTCCGCTTTCCAAGTCCCCCGGGCCCGTGGAACCCTGCCCCGCCCCCATGGCCAGCACGGCAGCTGGCTTCCCCCGTGGATCCCGCCCCTTCCACGCCAGGCCCAGACACTGCGCTGCGCGGGGGGCGAGTCGGAGCAACACTCCTCCTGACCGCGACCCCGCGGTCCCATCTGACGGTGCAGAGACGTCCTCCCGCCGCGGCCAGGACCGGCGGCTCTTGAAGCCGGAGGCCATCGGCACGCGCTGCGGGAGGGCGTGTGCCCCCTGCAACCCAGAGGAGCTGCTATCATCACCAGGCATTTACTAAATAAATAGTGTAGCCAACAGGTGAGCTTCCTGCTCTCCCAGCGCTTACGGTGAAGACGCCCACAAAAACCAACGAACAGTCTGCATGGTCCCAGGCACAGGGCGCACCTTAAAGAGTCAAAAATGGCGAAACAGGAGACAACAAGGGGAACTCACTTAGGGTGCGGGGGTTAAGGTGGGCCTTTCGTAGGAGAGCAGATGTGAGCGCTGACGCCTGCTGGCAGGAGCGGGCCCAGGGGCCTCTGGGGCCAGGGTGGGGCGGGGGAGGGGGGGCTGGGGGTGGGGTGAGGACCGACAGAGGCTGGGAGGTTAGGCAGCGCCTGGCAGGCTTGCGTCGGAGTTTGGCTGTGCTCCTGAGGATGGTGGGAATCTGTTGGAGGAGTTGAAGCAGAGGCGTTAAATAATCGAATTTATGTTTAAGAAAGATGATTCCAGCAGCTTTGTGGAAAACAGACCAGAGATGGGCAAAACGTTCTATTCAGATCCGCCCGGGGTGGGGTAAGGGAGTGGGTGGAGAGTTGTTCTTCCTGCTACAAATATCTGCTTGTCTCCTATCTCCTAGCCATGGAAACGGCCGAGCGGAGGACTGAGTGTTCCCACACAGCCCCTTCCCCCCAGCCCCCGCTCCAAGCTCCCGCTCACCTCCCCGCATCCCTTCCCGCTGCCCTCTCTGTCTCTCTCACACGCACACACCCCTTCTAGAATCCTGCCCCCTCCGCTCCTGATTTGTCCCCAGTTGTCCCTTGTCGAACGCCTCTCAGTCCTTTCCAGTCCACGCTCTCCACTCCAGGGTTTGCCACACAACGGGCGACGCGCACACCACACAGGCTCCCAAGCCGCAGCAAAGTTACAGCGCTCAAAATTTTGCCCATTTAAAAATCTCATTTCCAAAACAGCTATGATGCTCTCTACGCTCCACGGCTCATTCCTTGCGATTCCTCTTCGACGTTTTTACAGCCCTCACTTAATCTCTCATGAAGTCGCTGGGAGGACGGAAGCGTCCTGTCTCTGTCTCTCCCGTTCCCGAGGGCTGCAGGTACGCCCGGAAAAGGCAGGCCCCATGCAGGAAGCGAGGGCGGAGAAGACACTAGAACCAAGCCTTCCGGTGACCTATGACACGTGCAGATGGGCGGGAAGGTTCTGGGTTAGTCAAACCGGAGCCGACCCCAGGAAGCTTGGGCTGTGTTAAGACGGTGTCTGGAGAAGCCGGGCACCAGCGAGGCCTCGGCGTATTTGCCCACGTCACCCACAGGGAGCCCATC